TGCTGAACCCTCCGTTCAGTTTCATTATACTTGTGTCATAACACAGAGGAAATAGAGAAGCTAGATCAGTAGACTCTCTTTCCTTAATTTGAAAGCTTTTATTGGGTTCCTTCTTCTCTATCTCCTGCTCAAAGTAAGCAGTCCCAGTCCTTTCAGTCTCTTGTAATAACAGAGGTTTTCATGACTCTGGTCTTGTTTGTCTAGAAATCAGATCATATAGAAACACCACCTTGAAGTTCTGTTAACTAGGATGATGGTAAATATGACTTAATAGGAACAAACTGTATTTGAACCTCATGTCAGTTACTGAATCATTGTAATTTCAATAGAGTTTAATCAGGACTAGATGATGTGATACTTAAGAATAGTATCTGTTTATACCGCATGTTATTGTGTTTGGCAGCATCTTAGTTAACACAACTCTTCAAGGTCATGATCTAACTTCTGAGTGAAGAAAAGTCTTGTAGGATTTGCTAGATCTGATCAAATTACTTGTTGCAAATAGACTAGCCAGAAAAATCATCCTTTTTGTTTCTTTTTTCCAAATGGATTCCTGCTACTGTAAATAAGTCTGGTATTCAGAAGCATTCACCATGTAGTCAATGAGAGCAAATTTCAGACCACATGTGCACCGACTGCAATTACTCAGTATTTTTGCTGTGAGATTAGCTGTCTTGGTCAAATGGTATAATTTCTGGTTCCTGATTGGTTGACTGACTTTGACTTGCCAATGACAAACAGCAAACAATATTGTTCATACACGAAGGCTTTTGTGCATATGCAAATGTGCTTAGAAAAAATAAAAGCAAGGTTAGGCCACTTATATATTGAAGGGGAGCTTTAAAAATCTAGTACTTAAAATATGTTTATTCTGTTTATTATTAATTCACTGACAGATGTGGCCTTTTCTGGATTTAGTACTTTTAATGCTCATCATTTATATAGCACTTTGGATAGACAGAGTCCTGCATAAACCTAAATTCATTCAAACATTCCCCCAAAGCATTAAAAAACCTAATACTGGGCCAGTGCATGAGAGTCTGAAAATGAAAATGAACAGCATGGAAAGTATGAATAATTTAATTTCTCTGACCCAGCTGAGTGAAACTTGAAATATAAACACATTGCAGAAATGACAGATAGTTGTCTGATTGTTAACATTCCTTCCATGTGAATACTGAGAGTCTTTGAAATCAGGTGTTTAAACAGAGGATATATATTTTTTAAATCTTCACAGTAAAAAAAACCCCCAAAACCTACAACTTACAACTGCTCTGAACTGTATTTAACTCTGCTTTTGGGCATCCTGTGTGTTGGGGAGTTCTGGATTTGCAGCTCCAGAAATACCAGGATACTGGGCAGTGGCTGATAAGCTGACAAGTTGGCTATCTTTGAGCCTCTTTGATCTAACGGGCAAATGGAAGGGAAACTAATTTAGTTGCTCCAGTTTGGAAAACAAGCCTTTGTGGCTATTTTCATTCCTCTTCAGGACATGGGGAGGTGAAAATATGTGTTATTTTCCAAAGTACATAAGAAATGCATATTTTACACTTGAATAAATGCCCACATAACGGGGAAGTTTGCAATTCTTAAGCATATAGGACTGGGATATTTCAGTGGGGAATTAGGAAAGTAAGAGGATTCAGGAGCTAGGTCCAATAAGAGGCTTAGGTGACTGAAGGTTTGGTTCTGTAGCCCCCAGCTTTCTGCCCTCTGCAGAGGGTTCCTGCCCTCTGCAGTGACATCCAGCACATTCCAGGCTGCCAGCACATTGTTCAGAGATTGTGTTCCCAAGGAGGATGAAGCTTAGCATGCCCTGCCCACCCAAGTCCATGGGCACAATTATAACTGGAAATATATCAGTACAGCTGTTCCAGACTTGCCTCCAGTGTCTGTTCTCAGGCCTGCAGGAAACTGAGTACAGAGGGGAAGCCCAAAGCAGCCCTAGGTGTTGAATGTGCCCATGGATGCAGGTAGATAGGGAGTGACTAGGAAGTGCCTGGGCCCATCCTTAATGGGACCTGCTGCTGCAGTGCTATAGGCAAGCCACCAGGTACCTCAGAATAGCGTAAAAAATAGCCACTGTAGGGGCTGCCTAGAGCTGGTCAATAGGAAATCTGTCCCTCTCTATAGTGTAGGTGCCTTACTCAGGACTATAAGGAGGAACATCTGTCTACTCCGGATCCTCCCTTTGAACTGAAAGTTACCTACAACATTTCTTTGAAAGAAATGAGTACTTGCAAGGACTGTTTAATGTAAAATATAGGCATAGCATTGGGAAGCAGGGACCAAAAGCCATGGCTTTCCCTTTGCAGATGAGTACTGTAACCACTAGACTAGTCAGGCTCTTTTTCTTTGTCTTTCTCTGACTCATTGTACCTAGGATTCTTGTCTTTCCAGTAGCCCTTCTTCAATATGAGGGGCAAAATGTGCCCCAGCAACCCAAAGTAGTTTATACATCCCATGCTCACCACGGAGCCAGAGGTAAACCACCACGGAGCCAGAGGTTAGAACCCCGTTATGCTAAGGAAAGAAATGAAACTCAGTTTTCCTCTTCCAGGGGTGTGATCTAACCACTGGTCTTTGATATCAAAGATGAGAGCCACTACCTGCCATGTCATAAAAGAAAGGAGTTGCTCTTCATGGGGAGCCTCTTGTTAGTGAGAGTTAAATGGGCTCTGAAAACACCAACTAGATTTGGACTTAAGTGGAAGAATGCTTACTTTTGGGAACCTGACCAGGGGTATATGTGAATCCAAATTGTAGCTGCTCGAACTGTGGCAGTTGTAGGTATGACCAGAGGCACAGGTCTGGTCACCTGGAGAATTTTAAGGTAAAAAATTAAGGCGCCTATGAAGTCAGGGGGCAGCTGAGCTAGGGTTGTTTGGATCATAATTTTGCACTTAGGTTCCTACCTTCCACATATGTCCTGCTTTAGGCGTCTAAGTCCTTTACTGGTTCTAGCCACTGGGTGTCTAATTCTCTCAGGCTTCTTAGAAAGTTGCAATCTAGTTCTCTCATACTGGATGCTCTCTGCACCAACCAGTCTATCTGGAGCTGTGTAGGTGAGTTTTAAGCATTTCCTTTGCTTTGATAAGCGCTATTTCTGCTGGTACCTCCATGTGTGGAGGCACCCCTCTTCCCTCCCAAGAGATGCCATCAGCGGAGATGACTGATCTAGAGGTGGGGATGGTGATGTAGAGGTTGGTGTCATCCACATGATATGTCTGGGGGGGATGGCACCCACCACTTGTCATTTCTCCAATGATATAAGCTCTGCCCAGTCTTTTCATGATATGCACAAACTCCTCTGCAGCCCCAATAGTCACAGCACTAGTGATGATTACCAAACCCTTTTGTGAGCCATATCTCTCACCTGCAAGAGACAAGATAAGACAGTGTTAAGCACATCTACATTTAAAGGTCCACTTAGATCGCAGAATAGCGTGAGAAGAGCAGAGGCAGACTGTATTTCCATCCCATCTGTTATTAATGCCTGAAAGAATCCTGACTTACTCTCCAGCTGCAATGGCTGGAATTTGCTTTTTCCAATAAACAGCTTGTACATTGTAAAGAGTCTGGTCATTATCATTGATGTTGCTACATCAGTTTCACTTCCTGCCTCTCCTGTAGTAACAAGTTTTGGACATATTTAAACTTAGAATGGAAATGGTCTTCCATGAAATTACAATGGGGAAGTTTAGTTTAGCTTTGGTTTTACCCAAAATCCCCTTACAGAAAATCTATAGTTGGGGTCTGGACTGACTTGATTGTTTCCCTTACTTAACCAACAAAGAATGGTAGATTTTCTCATAATTTCACATTCAAAATAACATTTTGCTGGGGACTGAGCTGTTTTTTCTTTAAATCAGGCCTTCTGCATCATAGAGCAACCTGAGCACTTGGGAAGTTCATCCTATGCCTCTGTAATAATATCCTTGGAGTCTGTCTATCACATGCACCAATGGTATGAGAGTTAACTATAATTCTAACTTGTAAGAAGGGGCCCAACATCACATGAGGGACCTTTCACAGAATTAATTTTCACAACAACTTTAAATGGAACTTCTTTTGTTACTGACAAGTTATGGGCCATTAGGAGACTCTGTCCAAAGCAGATATATAATGCAGAGCTCGATCCAAATCTCCCTGAAGCCCATTCTCGTTGAGGGGATTTGGATTGTGGCCATAATAACTCCATTCCCTTAGCACATCCCAACTTTAACTGTCTATGGCGACTACACCGGGGGAGTGTGCTGCTACGGCAATGAAACTGCCGATCACATGTAGACCTGTGTGATCACTGCATCACCATAGCACACTGTATGGTGATGTAGCATGTCACTACGTCACCATAGAGCAGGGGCAGGCAAAATGTGGCCTGCCAGGCCATTCTATCTGGCCTGTGGGGCCCATAAAAAATTTAGAAAATTAATATTTATCTGCCCCTGGCTGCCTGTCATGCGGCCCTCAATGGCTTGCCAAAACTCAGTAAGCAGCCCTCTGCGCAAAATAATTGCCCACCTGTGTCATAGAGCAACATGTAGACATGTAGTCCATGGCCCACTATGCCATAGACACTAGGGGAATAGAGGTAGTGCAGGGTCCCACAGATCTGGACCATAAGCAAATTTGCAGAATATCTAGTTTTCCTCTGATGCTTTTTCTTTGTATAGATTTAGCTATTGGCTTCAGGTGTTTTCAGTAGGAAAAATGTAGTTTCTGATGGATGGCTATGGATCGAGCACTCCACTTTCCTAGGAAATTCACAAGAAGCTACAATCATACATACCTAAAAGTAAAAGTTATTATGAAGTGTGGTTGCCATCTCACCTGTGAGCTGTGACTGGGTCCAGATCTCATTTATTGAGTCAGTGGGTCTGTTGTAAACCTTGTCCAGAAGAACTCGGTGCCCCTCATCAAAGAAGTAAGAGCACAGGCCTGGTATGGAGTTGATGGGGCCTCCAATATTGTATCTGTGTAAACAAGAAAAGAATCCAGGTCACGATTGAACATTTGTAGCAAACTGTGTAATTATCCTCCTTTCTCTCCCTAATTCCCAAGTTCTGCTGTTTTATAGCATCTCCAAAATAATGGTTCAGACCTAAGGTCTTATATCTGCGTAATGCATTCTCCCTCACAGTATTTGCAATCCTAGCAATATAGAACTGAACTCCTGCTGGAGAACCTGATACTGTTATTGTTCACAAACTGGCTAGAAATAAAAATGTAAAGAAAGCTATTTTCTTGGACCAACCTGGTGAAAAAAAACCCATAAAATAAATCAGAAGAGATAGTTAGAGAGAGATTAGATTCTTGAAGTTCTTTTATTTTTAATAACCTACAGTTATTGCTAACATAAGTAATGGAATTTAAAAAGCTGAGCCAATACACTTAGACTTTGCTATTAATGTTTAGGCAATTAATTTTCATTTAGGGGCAAAAAATAAGTGTCTGAGTGGAGAGGCATTGAGAATCTACATCTCCCATCAAAGCCAGTGTAAATGGTCACCACTTTCTAACCTCAAGTGATTTCTTTTTGTGTCCAGTAGTTGATCTAGATGATTCAATTAGGGGAAACTTTGAAACAATTTACATTAGAAAACTCCTTCTAATTTCACATCACAGCTCAGGGTGGAAGTCATAGATGTGTAAGTATCACTATGGGATTACCTCCTCCTACAATTAGAACAGTATTCATTTTGAATCAGGAACACCAAACCATTTATATTTTCCATTTCTCCTTCAGCTGTACTCATGTAGTGTAACTCTCCATCTAGTGGTCAATTAGAAGCATTTCTAATGTATCTTTGATGCCATTGCATAGGAGGTAACTATTACCCTTATGCAGTGTGCTGCTCATGTTTAACAAGCTATTTGCACCAAAAAAAGTTCCCGATTTCCCTTGTATCCTGCGGCCTATTTGTTCATGCTGATAAGGAGGATGCAACAGGACTTGAGAATGAGTTAATTTGTTTTCCTATTTAAAAAGATGTGTACAGCACCACACATGTTTATGTTTTATTCCCTAGCATAATGATGGCACAGGCTTTACCTTGTGTAATTTACCCTATGGTGCATGGCATAGACCACATCGAGTAGTGTCTGAAGGAAACTTCTTGCTTGGTACTGATGTTTAGTGCAATCCAGACAGAAACCAAGAAAATAAATTTTGGTTCTAGGAATTTTCCTCTGCAGTTCTGCAAATTTAGGGGTGACTCCATCCCTGGGTAAGGAAACCACTCCAACTGTATACAGAATAGTTATGTTTGCTATGAGCTTGCTGAAAACCAAATCAGGTTGTTAGTGGTTTCTGCTTAGTACTATCTAGACTTACGTGAGTATTGCTGTGCAGCCAGGACATCCCAGGGATACAATGCTCTGGCTGTCACAACCGAGCCTCATGCTGCTGCAGGTGTCATGGTAGTGAGTGGTATCTAACTTGTTGAGGTGACTCTGAGTGAGGTGAAGAAGGAGATACCTTGGCTAATCATTTGTCAATGCATAAGCCTGCAGTCTGAGATTTGTACCTGCCCTGCAGGGATTTTGCTGCCTGGCAGAATGAACATGACTGAATCATGCTGGTCTCTTGTTAGCCACCCCTTTCTTGCTGGACTGCAGTTATGATGTGACTGAGTAACCCACATATAATGAAAAGAGAAAATACAGGCATTAAAGTCACAGGATAAAATCCTAGATATGCCAGAATGCAATCAAGGGCAGGCAGCAGAAGAGGAGAGGGACAAAGCTATGCCACATTGGAAAGCCAGGCAGTGAGATGACAGAGCAGCTGCCTGCCCTACAGTGCAGCTCACATTGTGTTGAGTCGATTGAGTCCACAGCACTCCAAAAGAACAGAAAATGTCAAAAGCCTCCTGTCTGTGAAAATCAGCTTAGGGGGCTCTCCAAGTTTCCAAACACATGGTCAAGAGCTCTGGGATGCTGACAAAGATGACAAATGTTTTGACAAGACAATTCATAGATTCATAGATTCATAGATGTTAGGGTCGGAAGGGACCTCAATAGATCATTGAGTCCGACCCTCTGCAAG